TTTTTTTGAGACGGAGTTTCACTCTTGTTACCCAGGCTGGAGTGCAATGGCGCGATCTCGGCTCACCGAAACCTCCGCCTCCTGGGTTCAGGCAATTCTCCTGCCTCAGCCTCCTGAGTAGCTGGGATTACAGGCATGTGCCACCATGCCCAGCTAATTTTTTTGTATTTTTAGTAGAGACGGGGTATCACCATGTTGACCAGGATGGTCTCGATCTCTTGACCTCGTGATCCACCCGCCTCGGCCTCCCAAAGTGCTGGGATTACAGGCTTGAGCCACTGTGCCCGGCTCAAAATTGTTTTTGAGATGGAGGTTTGCTCTTGTTGCTCTAGCTGGAGTACAATGGCACGATCTTGGCTCACTGCCACCTTCACCTCCCGGGTTCAAGTGATTCTCCTGCCTCAGTCTGTTGAGCAGCTGGGATTACAGCTAGTGCTCGACTTACGACCACGATTGGGACCGGCAGACCGGTCATAACATGATTTGGTCGTAAGTTGAGTAGGCTATATGTACAGTTGAAATGGTGCACGCAGAGATGGTAGTACTGCCGGAAGCTGGTCCGCACTGTCATACACCCAGCTGGGCAACGTTTGCGCTGCCAGACGTGGAGCAGTCGTGGCTAGCGATTGTGGTCGTAAAGTCGAATGGTCGTAAGTTGCATACCTGTATAGTCGAGCACCACCATGCCCAGCTTTTTTGTGTTTGTGTATTTTTAATGGAGACAGGGTTTCTCCATGTTAGGCTGGTCTCAAACTCCTGACCTCAGGTGATCCTCCCACCTCAGCCTCCCAAAGTGCTGGGATTACAGGCATGAGCCACTGCACCTAGCCTCAATATTATTTTAAGTACATGAAGTCAAATTGAGTTAATGTGATAGGTCCTAGGAGACTATCTAGCTTAGCCTTTTTCTAATGGAGGGATTACTCCAAGAACTACTACCCTGGTTCTGCTAGCCCTTTAAACTGGTTTAAGAGCATCTCTGGGCCGGGCACAATGGCTCATGCCTGTAATCCCAGCAGTTTGGGAGGCCAAGGCAGGCAGATCACGAGGTCAAGAGATTGAGACCATACTGGCCAACATGGTGAAACCCTGTCTCTACTAAAAATACAAAATTAGCCAAGCATAGCGGTGCACGCCTGTAGTCCCAGCCACTTGGGAGGCTGAGACAGAAGAATCGCTTGAATCTGGGAAGCGGACGTTGCAGTGAGCTGTTTTTGTGCCATTGCGCTCCAGCCTGGCGACAGGAGTAAGACTACATCTCAAAACAACAAAAAACCCCCAGCTCTGGTTATTTAGAGAAAAGGAGCCTCACCACCAGCTGTAGCAAATTTAGCAGTGTCTCAAGAATCTGGCTAACTTCTCACCACCTGTTACTGAATCCATAGCACTCATTTCACTAAATCTTTTATTTGTTTTGGAGACAGGGCCTCCTGTTGCCCAGGATGGAGTGCAGTGGCGTGATCACAGCCTGCTGCAGCCTTGACCTCCTGGGCTCGAGATTCTCCCACCCAGCCTCTTGAATAGCTGGGACTACAGGCGTGTACCACCACACCCAGCTAAGTTTTTTTTTTTTTTTCTGAGACAGTCTCACTTTGTTGCTCAGGCTGGAGTGCAGTGGTACCATCTCAGTGCACTGCACTCTCTGCCTCCCAGGTTCAAGAGATTCTCCTGGCTCAGCCTCCCAAATAAGCTGGGACTACAGGTGCGTGCCACCATGCCCGGCTAATTTTTGCATTTTTAGTAGAGACGTGGTTTCACCGTGTTGGCCAAGCTGGTTTCAAACTCCTCACCTCAAGTGATCTGACTGATTGCCTCTGTCTCTCAAAGTGTCGAGATTACAGGCATGAGACACTGTGCCTGTCCAACTAATTTTGTTTTGTTTTTTTGAGATGGAGCTTCACTCGTTGCCCAGGCTGGAGTGCAATGGCATAATCTAGGCTCACTGCAACCTCTGCCTCCTGGGTTCAAGCGATTCTCCAGCCTCAGCTTCCCAAGTAGCTGGGATTACAGGTGTCTGCCATCATGCCTGGCTAATTTTTGTATTTTAATTAATAGAGACAGCATTTCACCATATTGGTCAGGCTGGTCTCAAATTCTTTGACCTCACCAGATCCACCTACCTCGGAATCCCAAAATGCTGGGATTACAGGCATGAGCCACCACACCCAGCCAGCCAACTAATTTTTTTTTTTAAGTAGAGGCAGGGTTTCAACATCTTGCCTAGGCTGGTCTTCAGCTTCTTCAGTGGGCTTAAGTGATCCGCCCACCTCAGCTTCCTAAAGCGCTAAGATTATAGGTGTTGGCCACCATGCCCAGCCTTAAATCCTTCCTACTATGTCTAAATTTCAGACCTCTATTAGTTTGAATTTTGTAGCTTAAGAACTAGGAGAGAATCAAAAGACAGTAGTGGTAAATACCAATCACACAAACACAAAAAGATACTTAAGTGTTAGAAACGTTTATTTGTCAAAAAATTTTAAAAAAGGGGAGGAGTGGAGTAAAACAAGGCTAAATTTCAGCTAATGCTGTACCACGATCACAGGTCAGACATAGAAAACAAAACAAAACAAAACAACAAAACCCCCAATGGTCCTACCAATTTCAGAAGATTTAACTTCAATGTTAAGAGTCCAGAGCTAACAGAGGACAGTAAAAGGCTGCTTGTCACTACATGGTCATTTTAAAGGGAAAGGAAATGCTGCAGGTAGGCAGGGAGAAGGATTCAACTCCTAGGGAAAGCAAGATAAGAGGTTCCACTGCACAGGAAAAAGGGGATGCCAGCATAATCCTTACCTAGGGCTGCTCAGAGCCTGAGAATATAAGGAACAGAGTGAAAGGCTACAGAGACTAGTATCAGGAGGAAAGAAAAGTCAACTTAGAAGAATTAAGAAAGAAAACATAGTTGGTCACAAACTCCTTTTGTTTACTGAAACATGAAGCAATGGAAACATCCCGGCAAAGGGGACCGCGCGGAGCAAGTTCTCATATATGACCGCAGCCCGAGGGTTCAGTCCGCAATTATCCTACCTGAAAGAGAGCACAACACAAGAGGCTTACACAATGCCTGGAGAGCAGCCTGGCTCCGAGTACAAGGGCCCTGGATCCCGTCCTGTATTGGGGGAGAGGGGGGACAAAGAAGAAAACAAAACCAAGTCAGACTGGATCTAACTCACATCCCATATAATTACCTAGGAGTCTAATAGCTATATATAGGAATCTACTTCTGGGTACATATATAGGACAAGATGCAATCTAGCTGAAGAATGTGTTGGTGATAAACCTTTCTTATCCACCTTTTAGGCAAGATAACCCCTGTGACAGAAGTCTACTGTTGCTGCAACAAAGGGCATATAAACATTATCAAGAACTGCAATTTAATTTTGGGGTCCAGGAAAAGCAGAAGATGCTGAGATGTCTTATGTGGCCAATTGCACTATTCTAAATGTTTTGTTTTAATCTTTCACAGTAAACAAGCTTTCACAAATGATGGTCACAAGGGTAGGGTATCAAGGAGCAGCCAGTCATTCACCCAATTCCACCACACCTACATGTCATCACACTCACAGAGTTAGAGCCATAGTTCCAGTAGTTTCCCTAATTGACCAAATCTCCCTTGCCAAATCAAAAGAAGAAATCACTCCTAGAATTCTCTAATTCTTCTACTGATGATGGGAACTCCAGACACCAATGGCTGGGGGAAAAAAAAAGTTAACTCACACCAAGTTCCTCTACTTATTACAGACAAAGGGCCAAATCTTGGTCTTGATCTGTGCCAATCGACTTCAAAAGTTGTGACGTTCTTGGATCAGTTCTGCTAGGGTGAGACCCGAATTTGGATCCCCAACAGTTCTGGAGTATTTCATCCTGGCAGCCTCATTAACATCAGGCTCCTGGGACTGCAACCAACTCAAGGTTATTCAGTCCATTTGAGGTTCACACCTGGAAGGTAAGTTTCTTTAAAAGTCATCACTAAAAAGAGGTTAGTTGAACAACCACTGCTTGCAGTCAAAATTCATTTAAAAATGTCCTAGCAATACCTTTTGAAGACCACAATATATGAATTTAATATTTAACTTTGAAACACCCTTGAGAGAAACAGGTTATCTAATAGATTTATACCAGCTTACTTCAGAGGCATATCCCACCTCATGCTAGATCCAGCTGCATTAAAATAAAAATTAATGGCAAATTACAAATTTTAAGATCATTTCACACATAAACACAGACTTGCTGCACAGTGGTCTCAAGAGATCTCAAGTCTTGGTGACATGCATATAGGGTACAACTTATTACAGGTTGTACCATATTTGCTTCTCAAGTCACATAAAAGAGCAAAGTCTACAGCTTTGTTTCTTAATTTCTTTTTTTTTTTTTTTGAGATGGAGTCTTGCTCTGTCACCCAGGCTGGAGTGCAGTGATGCAATCTCGGCTCACTGCAACCTCCACCTCCCAGGTTCAAGCAATTCTCTTGTCTCAGCCTCTCAAGTAGCTGGGACTACAGGCGCCCACCACCATGCCTGGCTAATTTTTGGGGCTTTCACCATATTGGTCAGGCTGGTCTCAAACTCCTGACCTTAGGTGATCTGCCCGCCTCCGCCTCCCATAGTGCTGGGATTACAGGCATAAGCCACCATGCCCGGCCTTTTTTTCTTCTTTTTCTTTGAGAGAGAGAGAGGAGCCACTCTGTTGCCCAGGCTGGAATGCAGTGGCTAATTGCAGCCTCAAACTCCTGGGCTTAAGGGATTCTCCAGCCTCAGCCTCCTGAGTAGCTGGGGCTACAGGCATGAGCCACTGCACACAGCTGCTTTGTTGTCTTTTACATTTATTGCCAAATTGATAAGTTAGTAAAACTAGAAACTCAGTAGTAACTCACTTTAACCTTGCTACTGGGACTTCAAGTGATGCTCAATTTCAAGGTACAAAGAAAACCATGAGAATATAAAGTTGTCATGATGCCATTTCCACTCACATGAAAAGACAACCATCTTTAGATACTCAAAATTGCCATTCTAATACTTTTGGTACACATTTCCTGATGTAGGAAACAGTAAAATTTCAGAGTCTTTTGCACTGGCTTTCATCACCTATGCAATTTTCTACACATCTGAAAAATATCAATTTATATAATTCCTTAAACGTTCCTCACTTCAACCACAAAAATTGCTGGAAGAAATGGGAAGCATCAGGGTTTAAATGGCAGCCTCACAGGCTGTGAAGAAACAGGGCTTAAGTGCTCATATAGAACAAGATACTATAGATTACTAATAAGGACTCCATGAGACTTTCAAGTAAATGTCTTAGAAGTAAACATTTGAAATTTATAGAACTTCTGGCATATAGGTATGATGTTAGAAGAGTCCTTTGAGAAAAGGATGATGACCCAAGAAATGTTTTTTTTTTTTTTTTTTTTAAAAGCCAGGTGCAGTGGCTTATGCCTGTAATTCCAGCAGTCTGGGAGGCCGAGGCGGGTGGATCAACTCTGGTTGGGAGTTCAAGACCAGCCTGACCAACATGGAGAAACATTATCTCTACTAAAAATACAAAAAACTAGCTGGGCATGGTGGCACGTGCCTGTAATCCCAGCTATTCAGGAGGCTGAGGCAGGAGAATCTCTTAAACCCAGGAGGCGGAGACTGCAGTGAGCCGAGATTGTGCCACTGCACTCCAGCCTGGGCAACAAGAGCAGGACTCTTTTTTTTAAAAAAAAAAAAAAAAAGAAAAAAAAAAAGGGAGAAATGGTCTCTCTTGCCCAGGACGGAATACAGTGGTGTGATTTTTTTTTTTTTTTTTTTTTTGGGACGGAGTTTTGCTCGTTACCCAGGCTGGAGTGCAATGGCGCGATCTCGGCTCACTGCAACCTCCGCCTCCTGAGTTCAGGCAATCCTCCTGCCTCAGCCTTCTGAGTAGCTGGGATTACAGTCACGTGCCACCATGCCCAGCTAATTTTTTGTAGTTTTAGTACAGACAGCGTTTCACCACGTTGACCAGGATGGTCTCGATCTCTTGACCTCGTGATCCATCTGCCTCGGCCTCCCAAAGTGCTGGGATTATAGGCATGAGCCACCGTGCCCGGCCACAGTGGTGTGATTATAGCTCACCACAGCCTTTTTTTTTTCTTCTTGAAACAGAGTCTTCTTACTGTGTCACCCAGGTTGGAGTGCAGTTGCGAGATCTTGGCTCAGTGCAACCTCTGCCTCCCAGGTTCAAGCGATTCTCCTGCCTCAGCCTCCTGAGTAGCTGTGACTACAGGCATGCGCCGCCACCGTGCCCAGCTTATTTTTTTATTTTTAGTAGAGACAGGGTTTCAGCATGTTGGCCAGGATGGTCTCGATCTCCTGACCTCGTAATCTGCCTGCCTTGGCCTCCCAAAGTGTTGGGATTACAGGTGTGAGCCACCATGCCCAGCCTGCAGCCTCTTACAACTCTTGGGCTCAAGCAATCCTTCCAACCTCGGTATTCTGAGTAGCTGGGGTCACAGGTGCCCCCTGTTACACCCTGCTAATTTAAGTTTCTTTGTAGAGACAGGATCTTGCTATGTTGCCTAGGCTTGTCTTGAACTGCTGGGCTCAAGTCATCCCCCGCCTCAGCCTCCCAGTGTTGGGATTACAGGTGTGAACCACTGCCTCTGGCCTCAAACAGCAGTTTTATTAGCAAACTAGAATCCTAAAATAATAGTTAAAATTCTCACTGTGATAATCATTACTAACCCCTGAACCTGTACCCTTCAGCGTACCACTACGGTACTTCTGTAGCACAGACAGCATGTGGTTTGGAATCAGACAGGCCTGAGTTTGAATTCTAACTCTACCTTTCATTTACCAAATGACTTTGGGCAAAGTAAACCTCTCCAGTTCCCTTCTCTATAAAAGAATAAAACCTTTCAGTCTTATTGTATAGTTGATGTAAACAGTGTACATATGTTAGAGATCTCTTGTTTTTCTGTAACCAAATATTACAACTGATTAAAGAACGTTCTCACTAACAAATTGAATTTGTTGTTATCTCAGAAGGAATAAGTTGGTTGGAGTCATATACTAACAGCTTGACAGGCCAAATGGAACTTAAGGCCTAAGCTAGAGAAATATTGAAGACTAACCTGTAATTTGCATACTTTTGGATACTGTCTGGACAGCAAACAGGTGGCTCTAACCTCCTCTATGAAGCATTGGTCTCTTGCAGGGGAACTAAATGGAATCTCTTAACCATACCCACCCCTCTCTCACCTCTAGTTTTTAAAAGGCTGAGTACCGGGCTCGGTCGACATACTGCTCCCGTTCATACCGGGCCATGTCATACAGAGAATTCCGTGTAGCTGCTGAAGCCTGAGATAACTCACTCTCTGGCCCATAACCGTAGCCCTCTCCAACTGTGGGGAGCATGGCTGCAGCACGACGCAGTGGGCTCCTGTCCCTTCCATAATAGGAGGAAGTGGTGGCTGCAGCAGCAGCCATAGCAGCTGAAGTGGCAGAAGCGCCAGAGTTTGGCAGTAGGTGTCTGTCGTAGGGATCAACAGAAGTAGAGTTGAGGTGGCTGGTCACAGTTGTACTTTGGACTTGAGGCAGATGGGACATGGTCTGCTCTGCGTAGTTGTATGCAGAAGCTGCTGCCGCTGCTGCTACTGCCTCATAAGAGCGTACCCGGTATCGCTTATAGTAGTCGAGTGCTCCATATGCATCGTTGTAATACATGGATTCCCCATAGCCCATGGTGTAAGGTGTGCGAACTGCACCATACTGTTCATTATACTGTTCAGTAAAGTCTGCCACACGACCTGTACGATCTACTGGACACTCTTTGGACCAGTGCCCTTCTTTCCCACACCGATAGCAGCCACTCTGGTCTCCCATCCCAGGGGCAGTCCGAAGCCGGCTTGTGGACAACTGCACATGCATTCTTTTGCCTTGAAGAAACAGATGTAAGAAGACTTTATTATAACTCATTTTCTTTTTCCTCCCCAAATGAAAGTAAATTAGTTGTCATAAGACACCCCCAACACACATACTCCTGTGACCCTATTTCAGCAAACTCCTTTTTTTTTTTTTTAAAGATGGGGTTTCTCCATGATGGCCAGGCTGGTCTTGAACTCCTGACCTCAGGTGATCTACCCACCTCGGCCTCCCAAAGTGTTAGGATTACAGGCGTGAGCCACCGCGCCCGGCTCAGCAACCTCCTTTAAAAAGTAGTTGAAGGGGTTTCTCCACGTTGCCCAGGCTGGTCTCGAATTCCCAACCTCAGGTGATCCGCCTGCCTCAGCCTCCCAAAGTGCTGGGATTACAGGCGTGAGTCACTGTGCCTGGGCAGTGGTTGAAGTTTTTTTCTTTTTTCTTTTTTTTTCAGTCGTTGAAGTTTTAATACAAATGAGAGCTAGAAAATTTGATTCTACAGAGACCAGTCAATACTTTCTACTTAGGCCAGGAGTAGACCAGACTCCCTCCTGCTTCTGTCTCCACAACTTTTCTCTTTCCCCTCAAACACAAACACTGGAAAAGTTTTCTCACTTCTAAGACTATTACTTATAATGATTCAAATTCTGCCAGTACTTCCATAATCAAATAACCAACAAAACCTCAGTTATGCCAAATTTGGAGGACATCTTGTTCATCTCTCACTGACTGAGGATCAGGTAGGCCTGAGCATTTATTGCTTAAAAACCACATCCATCTTGTTTCCTCCAGCTATTTTTGCAGATGTCACCAGAAGGCTCCCAATCATGGGTACACAAACCATACCTGGTTTGTCAACTGCTTCATCTGTAGTATCTCTGGGAGTTTTAAGACCTTCCAGATTTCAACTCACCCTCACTCCCCTACCCCAAAGCTACTGTGGAAAACTATCTGACCAAGGTCTCTCAACAAGAAGAATCAGATTTTGAAACAGTACTTGTTTCTTAGGAACAGTGCGTTCACATGTAATGAAATAATTGGCATTTCATCCAGCAACGTAACTTACAATTCTTTATAGGGATTAACAACTAGTTAGAAAAATGCAGCATTGGCCAGGCGCCGTGGCTCACTGCCTGAAATCCTGGCACTTTGGGAGGCCGAGGCAGGTGGATCATCTGAGGTCAGGAGTTCGAGATCAGCCTGACCAACATGGAGAAACTGTCTCTAATAAACATATAAAATCAGCTAGGTGTGGTAGCACATGCCTGTAATCCCAGCTACTCCAGAGGCTGAGACAGGAAAATTGCTTGAACCCAGGAGGTAGAGGTTGCGGTGAGCTAAGATAGCGCCATTTCACTCCAGGCCGGGCAACAAGAGCGAGACTATCTCAAAAAAAAAAAAAAAAAGAAAAGAAAAGAAAAGAAAAGAAAAATGCAGCATTTGCCAAAAGGCCTCTAGGAGCCCATACAAATGGGTCACATCCATTTCCACTTCCAAAAAATGACCAGCACGGAGGAACCTAAGAGAAGAGAACAATCTTTGCCCAGGGATTGTGAACCACCAAACCCGGGGACCCTCACGCATGAAAGCATCTGAAGTCTTTAAAAGCAGTTAAATGAGTATTCCTGGCAGTATTTAGTCCCAGGTTGCATAAGAATCTCCTGGAGCTCAAGTCAGTGCTTTTCAGATTGTAGCCAAAAGAAAATGCACAGGAGGCTGAGGCAGGAGAATCACTTGAATACGGGAGGTGGAGGTTGCAGTGAGTGGAGACTGCCCCAATGCCCTCCAGCCTGAGTGACAGTGAAAGACTCCATCTCAAAAAATAATACTAATAATAATTAAAAATGCAGTCAGCACAGATGCAGAGAACAGGGGCTTCTCATTACTCTTAAGGGCTGCTCAGAACAAATCCCCCCTCCATGATCAGCAAGTTGCTGTCTTTAACAGGCCTTGTTCTGAATGCAGTTATGTGAGAGGAAGCCTTGTGCTCCACCATCCTGTAGGAAACAGCCCTATTCAGGATGGCAGCCAGAACAGTGCCATGCATTGAACTTGAGAGGGGAGTGGGTTAGTGCAGTAATATTTTAGTCAAATTTGTTTTGCCCAATGTCAGAGTCCTATCACTCCAGTTTCTAGCAGAAACGAAAGTGCAGGCTTTATACCTCCAGCTGCTAGCAGATAGGCAACATCCATTATTACCACTGATAGAGTCAGCAGATACCAAATGGCATTAAATCTCAAAGCATTTTGCCATCTTCAGAGATTTAAATACTCCTAATTCTTAGAAGGGCCACAATGCTAACTATGCTTTGAACAGAAACACAGATTTCTGCCACAATTTATATCTCAAATGCAGAGTTCCCTATAGTTTAGACTAAAGGATTATAAATGACTTTCAAATATACATGGTGACATTCAGCTATGTGACAGACACAAACTATGTTCCAACTATGAAGTGAGAGTGACTATGACAATCTAAAAAGGAGTCAATCCAGAGACCTAAAAGTACCATTTTTAACAAAAAAAATTTCAATTAAATTTGCACTTTACTTTTATAGATTCTGGGTCCATTTTTTTGAGAAACAAAACCCAGCAATTTTACCCTGTTTTTAAACTAAATCCAATCTTCATTCATGCTTTTAGAGGGTGGGAACTGCAGTTTATCTGTGGCAAAAACTACCTGTGTAGTCATGAAAAGGATATAGGTATCATTTTTTTTTTTTTTTTTTGAGACGGAGTTTCGCTCTTGTTACCCAGGCTGGAGTGCAATGGTGCGATCTCGGCTCACCACAACCTCCGCCTCCTGGGTTCAGGCAATTCTCCTGCCTCAGCCTCCTGAGTAGCTGGGATTACAGGCACGCACCACCATGCCCAGCTGATTTTTTGTATTTTTAGTAGAGACGGGGTTTCACCATGTTGACCAGGATGGTCTCGATCTCTTGACCTCGTGATCCACCCGCCTCGGCCTCCCACAGTGCTGGGATTACAGGCTTGAGCCACCGCGCCCGGCGGTATCATTTTTTTAAACCTAGAAGTAAAAAAAAAAAAAATCTATAATGGGAGCAATAGGTTAAAAAATTTTTTTCAAACCAGTTTCTCCAAGCTGGGTGCAGTGGCTCTTACTTGTAATCCCAGCACTTTGGGAGGCCAAGATGGGTCAATCACCTGAGGCCAGGAGTTCGAGCCTAGCCTGGCCAACATGGCAAAACCCCATCTCTACTAACAAAATATAAAACATTAGCTGGACATGGTGGCGCATGTCTGCAGTCCCAGCTACTCAGGAGGCTGAGGCACATGAATTGCTTGAACTGGGGAGATGGAGGCTGCAGTGAGCTGAAATTGTGCCACTGCACTCCACCCTTGGCGACAGAGCAAGATTGTCTTAAAAAAAAAAAAAAAAAACCACAAGGCCGGGCACGGCATGATGGCTCATGCCTGTAATCCCAGCACTTTGGGAGGCCGAGGCGGGTAGATCACGAGGTCGAGAGATCCAGACCATCTTGGCCAACATGGTGAAACCCCGTCTCTATGAAAAAGTTAGCCGGGTGTGGTGGCACGCACCTGTACTCGGGAAGCTGAGGTGGAAGAATTGCCTGAACCCAGAAGGTGGAGGTTGCAGTGAGGCGAGATTGTGCTACTGCACTCTAGCCTGGCGACAGAGCAAGACTCCATCTCAGGGAAACAAGAAAAGGTGCAAACCACCACACCCGAAAAAAAATTCCCTAGACTTTTCAATGCTTACTTTTTCACTTTTATTTTTATTAATTTTTTTTTGAGAGACTCTTGCTGTGTTGCCCAGGCTGGAATGCAGTGGCGCAATTTCAGCTCACTGCAACCTCTGCCTCTTGGGCTCAAGCGATTCTCCTGCCTCAGCCTCCTGAGTAGCTGAAACTACAGGTGAACATTACCATACCTGGCTAATTTTTTGTATTTTTAGTGGAGACAAGGTTTCACCATGTTGGCCAGACTGGTCTCGAACTCTTTGACCTCAGGTGATCAGCCATCCCTAGCCCCCTAAAGTGCTGGGATTATAGGCATGAGCCACTGCACCCAGCCTAGCCTTTTAATTTGAATACCCTAAAGTTTTTATAATAATTAAAAAATACTATGTTTCTCTATTATTACACCTTAAAGAATCAGGGTAAAGAAAATTGAAAGATTAATTCTTCTCTTCTACTACACTTGGACAGGCCAAAAGGTTAAAGATTTCCTGAGACTTCCAAAAGTTACTGAAGTCTGTCCAACATTTTCCAGAAAACCAACCCAAAAAAAGTGTTTTCTTTTGAAAGCTATAACAGAAAAAGAGCACTAAAATACTGAGAAGTGGGAAACTTGGGCTCTTAATTTCTGAGTGCCTATCAAGTGCCAAGATCCAGAGAATACTGGGGTTGTAGCTAATATACAGTAGTATTCTACTTAATGCTTGTTTACATATAAGGAAAAAAGCAAGACACCTGAACCCTTACATATTCTTTCCAATTAAGCTGCCTGAATTGTTATTTAGGAATAGCTTCTTCAGGCTTCCAATGCAAACTGTGTGTTAAGGAAATGAGTTCACTGCTGCCTGTAGAAAGGAAACAGATCCTGAAAGAGGTAAACTCAGATTCCATTGCTTTCTTTTAGAAGTCATACAATGCAAAAAGCCTCAATGGCAGCCATTAACATATAGAAATAAAGGTTCAAAAGATGTCCAAGTGGCACTTTTTTGTTGGGTTTTTTTTTTGAGACGGAGTCTTGCTCTGTCGCCAGGCTGGAGTGCAGTGGCGCAATCTCAAGCTCACTGTGACATCCGCCTCCTGGGTTCAAGTGATTCTTCTACCTCAGCCTCCCGAGTAGCTGGGACCACAGGCGCGTGCCACCACGCCTGGCTAATTTTTGTATTTTTAGCAGAGATGGGGTTTCACCATGTGGGCCAGGATGGTCTGGATCTCTTGACCTCGTGATCTGCCCGCCTCCGCCTCCCAAAGTGCTGGGATTACAGGGGTAAGCCACCGTCCCTGGCCTGTTGGTTTGTTTCTGAGTCTGAGTCTTGTTCTGCTGCCCAGGCTGCAGTGCGGTGGCTGGTCTCAGCTCACTGCAACCTGTGCCTCCCTGGTTCAAGCGATTCTCCTGCCTCAGCCTCCTAAGTAGCTGGGATTACAGCGTGTGCCACCATACCCAGCTAATTTTTTCATTTTTAGTAGAGACAGGGTTTCACCATGTTGGTCAGCTTGGTCTCAAACTCCTGTTCTCAGGTGATCCGCCTGCTTCAGCCTCCCAAAGTGCTGGGATTACAGGGGTGAGCCACTGTGCCTGGGGTTAAGTGGCACTTTTAAGAGACCACCTTCATTAGTAGACAACTGAAAAGAACTTACATTGAAAAATGCGTCAAACTGGTATCCAGATTGTGTTTTCTGTAAAACTACAATTTACTATCCAATACTAAGTTTGCTCCTGTCATCTGGGAGAAAAAAAACCAGAGCTGGTTATAAAAATGTCTCTATCTATAACTTAGAGGAGAGTACTCTCTCCAGAGGAGCCAAGCTAAGAACATGAAAACCAAAAACAGGATTTTTCTTTTCCAATTCATTTTAGTGTCGGCACTTTCTTTTTCTTTTCTTTTTGTTTTTTTTTGACAGTCTCACTCTGTCGCCCACTCTGGAGTGCAATGGTATGATCTCAGCTTACTGCAACCTCCGCCTTACAGGTTCAAACAATTCTCCTGCCTCAGCCTCCCAAGTAACTGGGATTACAGACACCCACCACCAAACCCACCTAATTTTTTGTATTTTTTTTTTTTTTTTTTAGTACAGACGAGGTTTTGCCATGTTGGCCAGGCTGGTCTTGAACTCCCGACCTCAGGTGATCCACCAGCCTCAACCTCCCAAAGTGCTGGGATTACAGGCATGAGCCACCACCCCTGGCCAGTGTCTGCACTTTCTAAGGAAGTGAAGTTTTAAAAAATCTTATGGATCCATTGCATTATTCAGATACTCTCTTCCAAAAGTAATTACACCTGCCTTATTAAAACACATATTTGGGCCGGGCACAGTGGCTCACACCTGTAATCCCAGCACTTTGGGAGGCCGAGGTGGGTGGATCACGAGGTCAGGAGTTTGAGACCAGCCCAGCCCAACATGGTGAAACCCCATGTCTACTAAAGATACAAAAAAAATTAGCCAGGTGTGGTGGCACATGCCTGTAATCGCAGCTGCTCAGATGACAGAGCAAAGCTCTGTCTCAAAACAAAACATCACAACAACACATATTTATCCTAAGCCAACTACCCCCAATTAACTGATTTTTTTTATACATCTTTTTGCCCTTTTTCTTTTATCCTGTTTATATATATATGTATGTATTTCAAACGGAGTCTCGCTCTGGAGTACAGTGGTGCAATCTCAGCTCACTGTAGCCTCCACCTCCCAGGTTCAAGCCATTCTCCTGTCTCCACTTCCTGAGTAGCTGGGATTACAGCCACACACCACCATACCCAGCAGTTTTTTCATATTTTTAGTAGAGATGGGGTTTTACCATATTGGCCAGGCTGGTCTCAAACTCCTGACCTCAGGTGAACCACATGCCTTGGCCTCCAAAAGTGCTGGGATTACAGGCATGAGCCACCGCACCCGGCCTGTGTTAAATATATTTAAAAGACAAGGGCATTCTGTATACATTACTAGAATACCTCTGCAGTTTGTACCCAACTTTATATTCTTGTACGTTTTGCTCACTACCTGTTAGGAGAAAACCCTCCTTCCCATCTCCACTGTCCATCAGATAATCTCCCCATCAAATTAATTAATACTTTTAAAAGCTGAAGTGCCGCAACATTCCAATAATAAAAACATGTTAAGAAAAGCAAATACAACATGGTGAAACCCCGTCTCTACTAAAACTACAAAAAATTAGCTGGGCATAGTGGCACACACCTGTAGTCCCAGCTGCTCAGGAGGCTGAGGCAGGAGAATTGCCTGAACCC